TTAATATAATTATAATTAATATAATTATAATTAATATAATTATAATTGTTATATTATTACATAAATGTATTAACTATGTCGCGTACAGCTTTTGATTAACAATTACAAAAAGAAGTTGCTAATTGTCTTTACGGTAGAGAACTGTCAAGAGCGTAGCTCTCATGGCGGCAGTCGAAAAAATATACAAATGAAAGTTGAAGAGTTTAATTTAAAAAATTAAAATGTTTGTGTTGCCTCTAATGCTTTCTTTTACTTGTAAAATCATTGGTTGTCTAATGTCTAAAATCTATAAAATGCAGTGAACCTACGGCCAAAAATATTAATCATGAGTAGAAACGTCGACAATTTCTATAATAATAATAACGCACATACTCAACATAGCCCCGCACTAGGGAAACCCTGTGTCGCGGGTGCTTTGGACACACACATAGACAACCACAAATTACACCCAAACTCACGAGAGAAATAAATGTAGGCCATATAAATATTTCTCCCGGCCCGGGAATCGAACCTGGGACCTCTGCGTGGCAGTCCGGCATGGTAACCGTTCGGAGGCAGTCACAGTCAGTCATCGTACAATTTCTAATTTATGCATCGTTATACTATAATAATAATTATTTTTATACTAATTATTTCTGCTTCTATGGAGAACTTTTTTACATCTTTTTTAACAAGTCGTACGCCTGGTGGTAAGCGACGCGCCTATCCATAACAGTTGCAGCGCCACTCAGAGCTTTATATCGCAGTATGGGTGCCTTAGTGGCAGTGTTGCCACTGCTCCCATCACCCTGAGACATAAGTTGTTAGTCATTGTGTGTGCCAGTAATTTCATCAGGTGACCCTTCCTTCCAAACCGGAGCGCAGAAATGATCACATTACTGCTTGGGAGCATTACTGCTTGGCGGCGGCGGCGAAAGGTAAGGTAGTAGTACGTCTCTGGACGAACTCTTTTACATGGAGCTCTACTGCTACTAAAACTACTATCTTTGGTTATACTTTCCGCTATTGATTCCGCATATTATATTAAAGTAAGTCACGTTGGACTAGCCGAAGTTAATGCATTAGTGTATATTTTTTATTTTTAGTAATAGTTGTTTACGTAATTGCATACCCCACCTTCACAAGGTCTACGCATGGTTCTACGGAAACGGAATCAGTTCAGATGAAATCAAATAATTCCCAAAAAATCCGTCATCGTACAACATCAATCGTTATAGCAAAGAAGGCACTTTAGTTTGCTTATTACGACAAGACTTAATTATTACTTGGAACTTACTTATCTAGGTACGTAGTATCATGTAGATTGTATTTAAAATAAAGTAATAAAGTTTATTACAGCACTTAATAAAGCAGTTAAACGTTAAACCTTAGGAGGTTGGATATTTTTGCAGTCCTCATAATAAATTACGCGCAACTCGAGAAGTATTTAATTTCACAGAATGAATATTTTTATTGAATATCATGATGTTTTTACCACCATGATATTCATGTATTTTTTGTGAAAAGACTCCAATAGTTTGTATTATTATTATTGATACAAACACCTAGAGAAATTAGTAAGAATATGGCTCTCATCATCATAGCTCAGTTAGCAGTGCGGTAACCACGTTGAAGTAGCAGTCGGAGTATTTACGCGCGCCTCCGTCAGATGGGGTAAGCTGCGCCGCCGGAAGTACGGTGGCAGGAGCGCCGACAGGTGTTCGAAAGTCGCGGCCGTGGACTTCGCGCCAGCGCGCTGTTGGCGCGATCCTGCCCAACCTCGAACTCTGATGGAGGAGTGCTCCGCGTGGGCCTCCGAGCGGAACACCCCGGTTGCCCGGATCGAGCGAAATATCTCTCCGCCAGGCATAGTAGCGGCTATGCTGGAGGATCAAGAGTCCCTGAGGCAGTGGTCTCCTTCTGTGAAGCGGTGATGCTCCAGAAGGAGGTAGCCGAGCGTGATCGGGAAAGGGCTGCCCCCACAGCGAAGAGGTATCCTAGGAGGATTTCCTCACGAAAAAAAGCAGTCGGAATTTTTCTTCGTGTTTATTCGATTAATAAACTATTGGAGTAAAACAATCGGCTTTGATAATGGACCACTTACAGAAAACTTTTTTTATGTGTGACTATGACTTAATGCATTGAGATATATCTTAGAATCCGTCATCGTTATCTGGAGCTATAAAGAGGTTCCATACCACAAAACACGTGAATTGCACCCGCACAGTGTTGACAAACAATGAGATTACACGGCGTCGGAACCTGCGACGGTTTACTTCAAGAACATCATATTCGGCTCTACATAAACGAAAACTATTCGCCGGGTTGCATGTTTACGGGTAGCATGCTGCGAGTACATGAATTGTTATCACAACACTCTCTTGCGTAATAAAAGTTCGTGTATATTGGAAACCGCAAAATTAAAAGGGATATCGATGTAATCAGACATAACAAAGTGTTAAATATTGGTTCAGTAATCACTATCTTAAAATATTACTATATTTAGAGCTCCTTGTGAAGAAAAGTTCGTCCAAGGAAGTACTGATGCCTTACCTATTTCTGTCGCTCTGATGTAAGCATCACTATGCACCTGAATGCTCAGGTTTAGAAAGGTAAAGTGAAATTACAGACAAATGTAACTTGTCAACTTATGTCTCAGGGTGGCGGGTACTGTGGCAGTGCCCCTCAGAAGTCTATTATTAGTTATAGCTTCAACACAATTTTGATATTTAGGTGTTCTTGTTGTAAAATTTAAGTGATTTTATTATCGCATCCAGCCTTTATGAATGACCAGCATTCAGCCTTCATGAATGACTAGTGGACTGACTGGCCACACTGACTGACTTACTAGACTAACAGAGTTTCAAAATTACACTGATTTTACTTTGAACAAAAGACGACAAGGGTATTTTTAACTAAATAACTTCCCCTGGGCGTCTTATACTTTCTATTGTACATACAGATGTACACTTTTCGTACTCTCTCCTATAATGTTTCTCAATACACGTATCTACCTGCGCCACCAACTTCGGCATTACAAAAAAAATATTGATATAAACAATCCCATGTAACTGGAAACTTAATATCAAGACAATAAATAGTACAAATATTTATAATAATGCGGTTTTAACAAACCGCAAATATCGTAGCAACATGTCTTTTGACGTACGTACTCAATACATAATACCGAGGAAAATCTCAGTGTATCCACTGTATACACAGTATTTTCCATTAACAAAGACGATTGTATTTTATGAGTTGTTAAACCTTAGCTGGGACAATCTTTACGCATTTGTTTTCTCAGTACACATATCAGCATCTATTCATCTAAGCATATAAAGTTACTTGCACGTACTGTAATAAGAAACACGTATAATACTATCTACGCATTAAGGTGAAACACGATGTTACACTGGATATACAGGGTTATTTATTAAATACTAAAAACCTCTCAGGACTATAGTACACAAATATATTAAACAAAATCAACTGCCTCCGTGGCCGAACGGTTACCATGCTAGACTGCCACGCAGAGGTCCTGGGTTCGATTCCCGGGACGGGAGAAATATTTTTATGGCCTACATTTATTTCACTCGTGAGTTTGGGTGTAACTTGTGGTTGTCTACCTGTGTATGTCCATTGCAACCGCGATACAGGGTTTCCATAGTGCGGGGCTATGATGAAATAATAACGCACATTGTGCGTTATTATTACATCTATTTGCCACTTGGCGTGGATATATTGTTATGGTATTTGGAAATATCGGTAAAAGCATTAACAACAACTTTTGTTCTGTGACTTTTTACTTTTTAATTTAATAAATTTACCAAAAGTAAACTATTAAGTTTTTGTTGTACAATCTGACACTTTTTAGATCTTTTTAGATTTGGTAATAAGGTTGGAATAAGTTCAAACGTGTAAGCGTCCGTCCAGACGACCCCCATCGCTCCTGCGTTTAGAGAGATCTATTTCAATATTTATATTTTTGTACAGAAGTACAAAAGTTGTTGTATATGATGCTATTAATGTAATCCTGAGAGGTTGTAAGTATTTTACAAATAACCCTTTATATAACAAAATAAAATCTTAATATTAAATCTGAAGTATTGGAATTCAATTAAGTTTTTGATATTGCTTTTCTTTCGACTCTGCATTGATTCAAGGGTCTTATTTATTATAAATACAATCAAAATGAGGGGAAATGGAGGAAAATTGCACTAACCTCTGGCAAACAATGATGCTGTAGACAGTAGTAATCCTGTGTACCATCGTGGTGGCACCATGTACCATCAGGGAAATACGGATCGAGGCCAGCGTCGTTCAATTCCACGCGAGGAGCGTAGAACCCACCTCCGGAAGTTCGTCGGCAGAATATCGCGCAGCCCATCCACATACGAGCTACGGAACATCATTTCTTTATAGTTACTACACGATAATGTTACAAACTGACAAAATGTCACGATGAACATTGATAACCTAACAAACATACAGCTAATCACTAACGTTAAATATAAAAAAAGAATGATTTGTGATATCGAAAAGTGACACCGGCTAAATACATATTTTTAGTAGTTTGTTTTATGTGATTGTGGGCCGTGGCTTAGATGAGTCATAATATAGCAGTTCAAGAGGGATCGTGAGTGATTAATTAAGTCAATGTTAGCTAAAATTACAAGGTCTGTGTCAGGAACGGAGAAACTCGAAGGGTATGAATAGAAAAAATGGTCAGTAAGTATTGACCACCTAATTATTTTCAGTGGATCATAGCCAGAGACTATTCCATTTATTTTTAGTTATAAACAAATAATAAAAACTTTCATAAATATGGAAGTATTAATAATTATTTAATACCACATTTATTTGCTTTTTCATTCTGCCATAGACAGCAATCATTCTAGATTTTTGTTGAGAATTAAATTCGTTTTGCAGTGGCTATTTAAAAAACTTTGAAATACGTGCAGCCATACGTATACTAAACAGTGTATGTAAACAGTAGATGTGTACCATTTTAGTGTACAGGATGTATAAATTAGTGCTCATTTACTTACTAGGGTCGTGTGGTGCCTGAAGTCCTCCACCACGAGAGTCTAGCTCGGGCACCATACTTGCATACGCGGAACACTTTCGAGAAGCGAACTCACTGGCAGAGACCCTTGTTTTCTTGCCGCAAACCTGCATGCACGGATAAAATTAGTGAGAAGACAGATCCGTGCGATCTTACAAACATGGTATATGGGATGCACGAAATGAGCCTGCCATTCCTTTTCTGAACGTATGGCGCACTCTGGGCAACAATCGCCGAGTATCCACGCCAATTGGCACCACAATTGTAAGTAAATCTACCAATCCGACTTCGCCGAGATATGCACGTTCTTTGTCTCCTTTATAAAATTCTACATAACCCCCAGCTTCCTCCTTATCTGTGTTCCCGTTTTTCTCCCTTATCCCCCAGTTCCCGCCCAAAACGTACCTGTGACACCAGATCACTAATAAATCCCCAATCCAACTCGAAATTCTTCCACAACTCTTTCACGGTAAGTGCAACTCGTATGTGGAATAGACTGCCTGCTAGCATTCGTGACAGTCCATCGGTGGCATCTTTCAAACATAAATTAAAATAGCACTACCTGTCGAACGCGTTAGATAGCTAATAGGTAACATATATTATAAAGTAGTAATTTGTTTGGATTATAATATATATTCGGCTTATGTTTGTATTTATGTATATAAAGTTCATGTAGGTGTGTATGTCTGTCATATGTATATATTATCATCCTTTATATGTATATATATATTATTTATATTTACATATATATTTTAATGTTTTTTTTTTACTCACATTTAAATTTAAATTTTATTGTACAATAATTAGTCCCGCAGACTTCATTTTTCACCTAGGCTAGGGTTGGCTGGAAGAGATCTCTTCTAGAGATAAGCTCACCTTTGTATATGTCCTTGTTATTATTATAAATCCTTTCACCACGATAGTAAGTAAGCATTATGGTGTATGCCATCGATACGATAAGGAGAAGAAGGTATATCAGGCAAATGATAACGGCATGTTTTGACAACTTTTTATTATATGATCTAAGGTTTTTAAACTATTGCGCCTCAATCAAAAAAGTGTCGTTATTGGAAAAAAAGGCGAGATTTGAATGAACTCATTTACTTTAAAAAAATCCAAATTAATTTTAATGCCAAAGTACGTCTCAGAGTGCCTCGAATTTTTCGTCTTAATATTGTATATAAAAATAATACCTCTTTCTATAACCCTGCAGTGAAAGTGTGTGTGTGTGTGTGTGTGTGTGTGTGTGTGTGCGTGCGTGCGTGCGTGCGTGCGTGCGTGCGTGCGTGCGTGCGTGCGTGCGTGCGTGCTTGCGTGCGTGCGTGCGTGCGTGTGCATTATTATATTATTATTATTTTAGACTCTCTCGCCACTCCCAGGGCCTAAAATATTATTATTATCATTATTTAACAATTTATACAAATCGCTTTATTTTATTTATTAATTTGTTTTACATTTTTGTTTTTTACATTTGGAGATTATAATTTTACACTAACTTATTACTAAGACTAATTTGTCTAGTAGTTGTAAGACTAGTTGGTCTAGTCTATTAATGTATCAAACTGTACCTGTTATCATGTAATGATTCATTCTGTTTGTGTACCTTTGAAATAATAAAAAATCATCTTACCGCTTCAGTGATCTTACCTTAGTATCGTCACAGAGAACGACATCGTAAGCGGCTCCTTGACAAACTGCAGTAGTTGGGCAAGACCGCCGTCGTTCACGGAATCCCCTTGCTCGATTAGTACAACCCGATCGACAAGATCCTGAACTCCACACGTTCCAACCTGCATTGCCTGCGCCATTACTATTGCCTCCACTGTTGTTGTCTCCATAATTATGTTCTCCGTTGTGGCCATCATTCCCGGTAGCTGGTAGCTTTGTGCTCAATTCAGCCAACTCTGACGAAGGCACGCATTCTCCGCCTTGACACCACTGACAATATAATACATTAATTGAACTGATAGTGCTTTCGGTAAGACAACAAACAGTATTTTAAACTCATAAAACTACAGGGCGTTTCGGCTATATCTTGAATTCGACTCGAACTACTCTGATCATATCAACTCTCAAAGCTGGTACAGACAGTAAAAAAGTTTGGAAATATATGAAAAATTTAACATCGAAACAGCATGAATCATCTTCAGGATTATTGAAAGCCCATTCATCTGAGCTGATATCTGATAACAGCGCAAATGATTTTTTCGTCAACGCGGGTAAAAATCTGTCACAAAAAATTCTAACTGTCGATTTCTCCACCACAAAGCCTCAATCCACCTGTAGCAAATCTCTGGGATCATTTGTGCTATTAGATACAGATGAAAGTGAGGTTGACAGAATAATTTTAAGCCTAAAAGACGATAGTGCTCCTGGTCATGATAACATATCAAACAAAATACTAAAACAATTCAGGCACATCTTACTTTCACCGCTTACATTCATTTTGCAACTATCTCTAACAAAAGGAATGTTTCCTACATATGTGCTTAAAAAAGCTGTTGTTGTCTCGGTATATAAATCTGGTAACAAAGATCAAATAACGAATTATAGACCTATTTCGTTACTGCTATATCTGAAATATTAGAAAAACTTATAAATAACAGACTTATTGAAGACGTATATTGTATTTGGAGAAACAATCCTTATTGTCTAAAACACAGTTCGGTTTTAGATCCAAATTATCGACATCTGACGCTGTGCATCACCTTAAGGATTTTTTAGTAAGGGAACTTGACAAGGATAACAAAACAGTGGCGATATTTCAGGACCTCGCGAAAGCTTTTGATGCAGTTTATATACCCATCCTATTGCAGAAGCTTGAATCCCCAAGTATAAGAGGTATACTGCTAAACTTACTTGCAGATTATCTGGTGACCGTTCCTAATGTGTCAAAATAGGTGACGTTTTCACTTCTGATCTCAAGACTACTCCATTTGGAATTCCCCAAGGAAATAATTTAGGCCCAACTCTGTTTCTGATCTACATTAATGACCTTTGTAATCTAGAATTAGAAGGTGGGAATATCATATCCTATGCTGACGATACTGCTCTGCTAACTCTGATAAGAAAGTCTATGAGTATGCTCAGCGAGGATTCAATGTCGTAAATAACTGGCTCCTGCAACATTTACCAACACTAAACACGGATAAAACTAGTTTCACGCAGTTCTATATGCGAAAACCAAAGTCTGTTATAACTAGCATAAGACTATATGCTCACCATTGTAAGGAGACTACTAACAACCTGTGTAAGTGTTCAGACATTGCTATTACTAACAAGGTAAAGTATTTAGGCGTTGTAATAGATGATTACCTCTCTTTTAAGCACCATATCGAAGCACTAAGCGGTCGAATCTGTAAGCTAATGTATGTGTTTAAAAAATTACGCACTTTTGCTGATTTTAAAATAATCAGGCAAGTTTATTACGCCATATGTCAATCAATTATTACAAATTGCGTTTTATCTTGGGGTGGTATTGTTAAAACTTCATTAGTAATCATCGAGAGAGCCCAGCGAGCGGTTCTAAAAGTTTCTACCTTCCGCCCTTTCCTTAACCCCGCTGACCTTCTGTACATGTCGTGTAAGGTACTAACTGTAAGGCAATTATTTATTAAGTCCACAATTCTCAAACAGGACGTTGCACTCCCATATGGTACTGAAAACACTAACAAAAGAAAGATATTGTCTTGTAAAAATTGTATCATCAAAACATGTGTTTATTTCCAGACTTTTTTATGTTTCTTGGGCCATTTTTGTACAATAAATTAAACGCCAAATTGGCCATATATCATTTTTGTTACATAAAGGTTAAGAAAATTCTACAAGAATTCCTAATGATTCCTTCAAAACATGTCCTACGATGATACAAAGAATTTATTAATTATCCCAAAATAAATGTTGTCTAATTTAAGCGTATAGGTATATATGATTTGCATTTTATTATTTAGTTATTATTATTATTATTTTGTTTATAATTTAATCATAGATAGACTAGATACCTATAGAATTAGTACTTTTTACCTGAACTACAGGATTCTCCTTGTTCAGGTACACGTGTTGTACTTTACGTTGATACGCATAATTAGTCTTAAGTTATTCCTTTGTACAATAAGTAATATTCAATAAACAATTTATTATTATTATTACTCTTAGATTTTCGCGATTGTTACCACTGTCACGTATACCTACACAACGTCAGCTGTGATCATGGGACCTGTAAAGGGTCCGAAACGTAGGTTTACTTGAAAAAATAAACATACGCGACGTTGCCGCGTTAATATAAATCCAGCCTGATCGAATGTTCTTTTTCTAAGTGTAATTCTTTGTATTAATAATTATAACAAACTATGAGAGTAATTTCATAAAAAATAAATAAACTTAATTACAAATATACACTATTTAAATCCGAAAAAAAATAGGGTTTTGCAACAAGAACTTTGTTTTGCAAATCAAAATAAACCAGTAAATTTAGATGACCTATTATTGATGATATGGATATCACTAACATGTGGTTTCAACAAGACGGTGCTACAAGTCACACAGCCACCGAAACAATGAATTTATTGCAAATCAAATTTCCCGATCGCATAATTTCACGAAATTCAGTACTTAAGTGGCCAGCTCGATCATGTGATTTAACACCTTTGGTTTATTTTTTATGGGGTTATGTTAATGACAGAGTGTATACAGAGTCAATCGAATAGATTGCAGTCTTAAAACTTAAAATTCGTGAAGTGATTAACGAAATAGACCCACCATTTTGTCAAAAAGTGATTAAAAACTTTGATGAAAGAATCGACACCTGTAACTGTGGTCTTGGTGGACATTTATCAGATATCATTTTTCATTCATAATTGCCAAACCTTACTTTTTTAATACAATAAAAACTGTAATAATTGTCATCTAAATTTATTGTTTATATTTTGATTTACGAAACAAAGTTCTTGATGAAAATCCGTTTAGTTTCACTCCTGACTCCGGTGATATAATATTTACGCTTAGAATAGTTATTATTCTAAGTATTTACGTCTATACCAATAGAATGTGGGTTTTGCCTACCCACTTATATTGCAATTATTGAATGCATGAATGATATGAATCTCATCCCGTGAAACGTTGTATAAACTTAGGTTAAAATGGAAAAACCGTAATAACAATTTTTAAAGAACTGACCATGTGGTGTCCACAGGGTGTGCCGGGCAGAGCAGGGCCTGCGTAGTAAAAGCCCGCGCGGTGTGGGGAACGGCAGGCAAGCTGGGCACAGTGCGCTGTAGTTGGTCCGCCCGGAGACGGTGCTGCATCGACGTCGCGGAGAAGAATCTGCGAAAATTTGTTGCAACTTTTTAAATTTCTTACCGCAGCATCATCAAAGATTTAGACAGTGCAAGCCTTCTTTAGCAAACATAATAAAAGTGGTAATACTTATTTGTTACGCAAGGCTGCAAAGTTGTTGTTTAACGCGAGTGCTTGTATAGAAACCTGAGCAAGCGTAGGACTCTAAGGGTCGTATTCTCGAACTCTACTCAATGCTCAAGTCAGAATTGCACTGGAAACATAAGCACTGGAAATACGACCCTAATGGCAGGGACTTGAGTATGATTTCGAGTGCTTGAAACCATACTCAAATCCTGACTTGAGCATTGAGTAGAGTTGTGGAATACGACCCTTAGATTGAATAGAATCCTGAGCGTACCAAGGGTTTTAAAACACGAGGCGCAAAACAACTTTGCTGCCGCGCGAAACAGATAACTTTTCATCATATACTATAGCGAGAAAAATGGTAGATGAATGAAAAACAGTCGAACTATAACAAATCTGTTTTATTAAACAAAATTAGTTAGCGTTGTCAATTTAATGTCAACAATAATAAGAATAAAATATACCAACGGATTTACTTTACATAAATTATGTACCTACAACAAATCGCTTAGTTGAACTTGTCATTATGTTTTTGTTTTCATCGAAAGAAAAAGTTAGGTGCACCACAGTACATCGTCGAGTTCGAATTTCAAAAACCTTTTCCACGCTAGCGTGGGAAAAACGCTTTCGCCCGCAGATTTCTAATGAGAAAGAGAGCCTTTCCGAACTAGTGAGGTGAAAAATAAATTGACATCACGATCGAAACTTTAGGCCATGCTATGTTCAAAAGGTGTATAGCTGAAAATAATACGGTGCATACATACCTCACATTGTTTCTTAGCTCCCCAAACAAAACCAGGTGCTCCTCCGAATCGTTCATGCTTCAACTCGTTTGGTGTATCTAGGTCTTCACCACTGTCCAATAAGCATGTTGCCCAGCTGAAATTTTTACAAATTCATTATTTTAGAGCACAGAGGCAAGAGGTGCCGTAGAACTGCTCAATTCATTCCACTCATTGAACTACTTTAGCTCAATGATTCCAGTTCGTAGGTACACCGTTTCATCTGAATCTTACAAATAAAAATACAATTGTAATATGAACACAAAGTATGCTATTCATCTTTGTTTCAAGAACATCAAATCCACTTCAAGAACTTACTGTAAATCAGCTACAACGCGTGCGCTGCACATTGACCATGTAGCTTCACCGTTGGTACCACGAGAGGGCGACATTATGAACCCATCACGAGCGCAAGAGTTCCCTGTGCCATCGTGGTGCATGCCAAGACTAAAAGTACATCAAGAATATATTTGTTTTATAGACAACCGTTTGTGTGCTCCATTTTAAAATTTATGCATTGTTTTATTTGTGAATGGATGGGTATAGTGCAAATTTTCTTTTTACTTACTTTGTATCTGTCGATAATATTTTGAATATAAAGCCTTTCGCTTAGAGAATAAAGTATGGACATATTTTGGGCACTCGTTGTGATACAATAGAATTTAAATATTTCTAAAATTAATTTTGCCTTTAATGAAAATTGCCCTAAAAATAACAACAAATCTTTTATAACCGACTTATGTCCAATCTCGTGTGCGAGGATGTAAACAGAAGTGAAGCCAGCTGAGGGGTAAGGTCGGCCCAGCACGTCAGTGGTCCCAAACTCGGAGACCACGCACGCATGCGCTGGTAGACAAACTCCGCCGACTGGAGCCAGGCCCATCGTGACTCCATTGCGACGACCGCCTTCTTCCGAGTAGAAATCCAACCTGAAAACAATGTTTGGATACGCAGATACTAATGACTATATTGAAACTTAAACTTAGGCGAAAGTGTTGAATTATAAATAATTGGAGAGGAAAAGCAAATTGAAGTTAAATTTTTGATTTATTAGGTATATTCAATGGTCAGAAAAAGGTGTTCCACATATCGCACCCTTAGTAATATAAGGGCACAATCCAAAAAAAGTAGATTTTTGGGAAATCGCGTATTAAGATTCTGGATTCCTACATTACACCTATTTTTTCAAATAATATGCTTATTATTTAAGTTATAAATATGAAATTTGGCAGATTTGTTCTTTGATAAATGTATTATAAATAGCAATAAAAAAAAAATAATATAAATAAATTCCATAAGTTTCAAGCAAGTTAAAAAAACACTTTCAAGTTAGACCCATATAGTACAAAAAATATAACAGAAATATGGAGCTATATAAGTTTGATCCCATTTATTATTTAAGTCCCTATCAATTCCCAAATTTCCCAAAAATCTACTTTTTTTGGATTGTGCCCTTATATTACTAAGGGTGCGATATGTGTGTGGGTGTGGGTGTGTCTGTGTCTCTGTGTGACTGTGTGTCCGTGTGAGTGTGTGTGTGTGTGTGTGTGTGTGTGTGTGTGTGTGTGTGTGTGTG